TTTTTTTTTTTTTTTTTTTTTTTTCTGTAATCCTCTCTTATATCCTCTCAGAAGTAGAGTGATTATTTTCAAATTGCTACAGACTCCACAGACTCTCGTCATCCTGCAAAGAGATTTAGCCAAAAGCACAAATTTCTTGATTGAGCTTTAACTATATGTCACACCAACAAACCACCCGTTGGCTTGTCTTCACACCACCGTGTGTGTCATTTTGTTGCTCCTGGCACATAATAAATTTGTTCCAGCACATGTCCTTCCTTTAAACTCTCCTAAGTTGAGCCATTTTATAATATTTACCCACAGCACTCACATAGTGCTGTGGGTACGTTAGATCTTACTTTGAAGATCTAACGAAAAAGAGTGTGAATTCAACACATCATAGTTCCTGTCAGTCTTTTATTCCTGAACTGACACCTCTGAATCTGTTCCCATTTGGCCCAGATTCTCACTGAGGTTCGCGGTGAGGCAGCCTGTACCCTGTAGGCAGTCGGCTACAAACATGCAGTGACAATTCAAATTAGTCCAGTTCACTGGCTCTGGCAGTGACTCAGGATGGAAAAGATGCATACGTAGCCTGCAATGCTTCGGTGACAGTTTTAAAGAGGCAGGGATTAAAAAAAAAAAAAAAAAAAGCATAAGACAGTTTGAGTATTCCATCAGGTATACAGCCCAATTTTAGCTCAGCACTTCTGTTCCGAAGGAAGTAGACTGGAACGATGCCAGGTCCATTTAAAAGGCAAGAGAGCGCGCCTTGTGGCTAAAGTGGTCTGATGCACATGCAGCAACTGCAGCATGGGATCTGTCTAGAGTATTGTTATGCAAGCAGGAGGAGAGCAGCCCCACTTTGATCCAGACATCGGACAGAAGCTGAGATGCTCTGGAGTTGGAAGCTGCTGTTTGGTGTGTCATCATTAGAGAGACATTTTTTTTTTTTTTTTTTTCAGAAGGACAGAGGTGGAGACTTAACTGCACTGCTCATTACTCAAATGATTTGACCTGCATTCACACTTGACTCATCACACCAAGTTTTGTCAGCGCCATTGCAGGTGAGTGTGAATGTTTAAGTGAATTCTGAGAAGAAATATCAGCTTGTTAGTTAATGATTAGATCTGGCTACTGTAAATGCATTGCAGGTCAATATGAATTTTAATTGAGTGGATTGCTGTGATGAAAAACAGCTAAATGAGTCTGAAGCTTGTTTCACACATGCACACCTTTTTTATAACTGATGACAAGGAAACACGTTGGCTTTAATGTGTGAATTACCCTCACGAGGGTTTTTCCTGGACACTTTCTTACAAAGGTGTCAAAAGACTGAACCATGTATCACTTCTAACAATTCAAATGTCTAAGCTACTGCAAACACCAAGGGACAGATGTGGTCAAGCAGGAGGATTAAAGTTAACACATGACCATTTTTATTTTAGTATAAAACAGATTGCATAATTACACAAATTGCCTTGTTCAACATTATTTTTTTTTTCTTGTCCACAGTAGTGAGCTGCAAAATGTTATCGTCTTAGCTTGCTTAACATGAATTTTTGAACAAGGTGCACTGAAAGAAATAAAGTCAAACTGTTATGTAGCCTGCTTTATTTCATAATAAAGCAGGCTTTGTTGTGTTTATTAGTTACACGTGGTAACTAATAAATACCACGTGTATTTACCACTAATAAATACCACATGTATTTATTAGTGGTAAATACACGTGGTATTTATTGTACAATAAATACCACGTGTATTTACATGTGGTATTTATTAGTGGTAAATACCTCATGTGCACTGCAGCTCTTCTTGTCATTTCCACAGACAGGCCTGAATGAAGTTTGGGAGACAAAGAGTAAGCAATATAACATCTGCTGTTGCTTTAACGGATTGATGAACCTGTTAGTTTATCTCATTAAAAATGATTCAAGCAGGTGCATCGTAGCAGATGCAATCTAAATAATGGAGGTATGTCAATGCTTTGGTTGACTCAGATAGATACAAACCTGACAAAAATACAACTCAATTTAGGTTAGTTACACATAACCATTATATAACAAATGTCTCAATGTACTTTATAAGACAAAAAAAGGTTTAGTTAATATCCAATTTTATGGAATCCATTTTCATCCTTTTTCTCATTTCTATCTGAGCTTTTTCCAGATTCAATTTAATTTATATTTATTGTTTATTTGATCTAATTACAATACTTTCAGATTCAGTTAACAAAAAAATAATCCTTTGTAGGAAAATGTAAAAATGAAATCAGGAGATTGCATCAAATCTTTGCTTTGGTAGATTCCATAATGCTGAACAATGACAAGGAAACAGTGGAAAGGAAAAACTCCTGGAAGAAACCTCAGGCAGGACCAGGCTCAGAGTGTGATTCAACCTGCTGGGGACAAAACATGGACAAGATGTAAAGATGACTCTTTGTTCTGTGCAGAACAACTATAGTCCTGCCTGGGATCTGGTATCATGTGTTCAGTAATTGCCAAAAAGGCTTGCTGACTCACATTATATGATGGTTTAAGGGTCTAATGCACTAGTTCTGTTTTGTTTGTCTTCTCAGAAAGATTTGACTATTGTTTAAGCATTTTAACGAAAATGTTTACTTTATACTGTTGTTTTAGCATTTCACAGTTACTTTACATTATGTCTATCCAAGAAACTATTTTCATTGAAAATGCTCCAGAAGTCAACGCTAAGCAGCTAAGATGTCAACAGAAAAGAAAATTAGCAAAAGGAGAATAAAATCTGCAGTTTTACAAGCTTATTTAGATCACCAAAGATTAAACTATGGTGGACAAATATTTGTAACAATTTTATCAATCTCTGTCAAGTTAATTTGTTATGTTTTTTAACTCAAAGTGTCCTTCTGCAGAAGTTTGGTTGAAAACTCATATACGTTGTCTGTGGTTCTTTCTTTTTTCTGTAGGTTTGAGAAAATACCTATCATCCAGTCAATAGACACAACATATAAAGGTATGCAGAAATGTTGGAGCTAATAAGAGGCAGTTTTAGCTTTTGTTTTCATTAATTCTGAGTAATTTCCTGTCTCATCATTTTGCAAGTTGATACAATTCCCTAGATGATATGCTAACATTTAGATGGACCATTTGCCACATTCACCATCTTAATTTTCTAATAGGTTATGTTGCTAAGGCTGATGTGAATGTTATTTGCTTGGCAGTCTTTTTTTAACATGTATGCCATCAATATGTGCACATTTGTTAAAACAAACAATCTCTGACATTTTAGAAGGCTAAGTAAACAGAATCTTTAGCAGCTACTCCCATGTCAATCTGATCTTTATCATTTCTTACAATGCACAAAAAACATATTGAAGAACCAGAAATGGCCAAAGCAGCCGCTAACGCACATAATACGAACCATAAAGTAATTTGATTTAATGCTGGCATTCCATCCACAACCAAGAGGAAATACCACTAATGTTGGGTGATGTCATTGCCAATAAAATAGATCCATCATGTGTGCAACTTGCTCCATTTTGGAACTTAACTTTCAATTGCCATCCTGAATTATAGGTATGAGAACACATGAATAGTTCTCTGTGGCCTATCAGCATGTACAGTGAAAGAGTTGGTGGTTAAAGCAAAATGTGCTGCTTGAGGCACAATTCTGTCTTGTCTGTCCTGTTCCAGACAAATTTAGACCCGCAGGATTTGCAGAAACTTTATAGACACTTTGCATCCTCTTACATCATTCACTCACAGACACAGCAATATAGACTTGGAGAAAATCCACGTCTGATTTCAGATTTCTTCTGAAGGTAATTTCCATAATCATAAAACGACTAGTAAGTGCAGGGATGTTATGAAGCTGCCTTTTAAATGCCTTAGGTTCTCATAGTCAAAGGGCAAATTTTGCTTCTTGTAAATGCCACGTCTGTCTGTGTCCTGAATCCAACTGTGTGTATGTGGCTTGTCTTGTTTGGAAAATCTAGTCCACAGACACGCTCCACTGGTGGACATGTTTCCCCTTGACGAACCAAAAATGACACGCCTTCCGACCACAGAAAGGCTGATACATATTTTATATGAAAGTATTACATAACAAAAAAAGATGAAGTTTAGGATGACAGACAACAGAAGTAGAAGGGAGTGGGTGACTTATTGTAAAGGACATGGATTCATCTTCGAATCTAAAGGTTGCTAGAGGCAAATCTGTCATATAAGATCTGCTGTGGCTAAATGTCAGGGGTAAACCTTTCTGCTTCACTGCTGGGTTTTTGAAAGTAATACCTTATTGAAAACACAAAATTATTATTATTGGAGGTTAAGCAGTCAGAAATATTAGTCCATCTTGACATAATGGAATTATAGTTTTACTGAAGAATTGACAGGTGTAGATCCATGACCTACATCTCCCATTCCACAGCATTCCACAACTATTGAACATGGTCTGGTGTTCTATCTTCAGAGCTTTGTGACACTGAGGTAATCAAGGGATGGATATGTATTGTAGCCATTTATGTTGAAGTTTTGTAAATCATAAGCTCTATCCAATTAGTTCTTCTTTTTAATTTTTATATTTGGAATAGTTAACATTACTTTGGTAACTTTTAGACCAAACGTTAGGTGTGTGGTGGAGGTCCTCTTGTTTGGAAAATATCTGGTGTGATGACTAGAGTTTTTTATAAAATGACTTTTTTGACCACTTTTTGAACTCGAAACATCAGATTAAGTAAACTTTCATTTTCAACTAAGTTGTAAGTATTTGTCAGAACGCTGGTTTGTAATCTATTAATAAAGTTTGACTGACCTATCTACCTACCGACTGTCTGGAATCAGGTCGTCTGCAGGTCATTTAGCACCACGTTCTCCACGAACAGACTGTGTCCCCTAATTCTTAACAAGGGAGGATGATTGTGTGCCTTTATGTTGTTTATGCCAAATTCTGACAACCATCTAAGTGTTGCAGCTGAAGGGTCTTATAAACAGCAACTATTTCCCTTGTTTTTGTCCAAGTTTGATGAGCCCAGGCATTTTGTAGCCTTTATTTTCCATTCGTAGCTGGCAGGAGTTGCAGTCAGAGTAAACATCTGGAGCTGTAAACCATCTGCTTCAAAATGGGCAACAGTTGGGATGCGTTTAGAGATGGTATTCCAGATAACTTAGTTATGGCAAGTCACTATTTGAGCTACTGTTACCTTTGTATCATTTTGATCCTGTCTGTCCTATCTCCTCCTAACCTTGACATCAAGACATTTTCATCCTCCCAACTGTCACTCCCTAGATACTTTTTCTGTAAAGAAAATCACATTAGATCAGTTGTTTATGAAGTACTCACACAAGCCTGTCTGTTACCCACAACCATCCTTTTTTTTTCATTTGGTGGCTACCTTTGAACACCAGTAAATTAGCTGTCAAACTTCTGGATGCCATTTGATTGGTTTGTTCTGTACTGATGTCAACAACAGGCATACCCAATATTGTGACTTTTGAGTCTTCCACAGAAAAATCCTTTGTTACATAGTTGTGTTTCTGGAGTTAGAATTTATGTTTTCCTGATGCTAATTGAGAGATTTACCAGAAGGGAGTGAAAGACCTGGTACAGAATGTACTAGGCAAGGAAACAACCAATTTGTTGCATATGTGGTAATTAGAAAACTAGAATCTGGTATGAGTAAACAGAAACTATCAACTAAGAACAAAAATGGTAAGAAGAAAGACAATCAGAGGAAAAGAATAAAATAAAACTAAACTGGTCTTCATTAAATGTAATAAAAGTGCCAAACTGACAATGTCTGACAAAAATGTGAACATGTTGGTGCATATCAAGGCACATGTTGTAATTTCTACGTGTTGTAGTGCTGACATTTTAATGGAGAGCTGAAACAAAGCTAAACCAGACATTGATCAAACTCATAAAAGATATTGTCCTTTTGAAAACACAAATCGGACAAAGGATGACGAGACAAACCCCATGCTTAACTTGGGAACATTTAGCTCGACATCTGAACGTAAAGTTTGTCTATCTTGAAGCAGAGCAACACCTTTTCATCCATGCAACACTGTAAGTTCTTGAGAATAGATGT